AACACATTCTCACTTATTGGCGCCGCGGCGGCAAGACCCTCGAGTTCCTGATACGCTGGAAGGGATACGACCCCTCTGAGGACAGTTGGGTTGCAGAAGCTGATCGCGTGGGCAACGAACGCTGTGCTCTTGAGGACTATCTTGTCAAGCAGGGTGTTTCTCATGCCACCCAGCTTTGAGGGGGGGACGTGTGAGATTATGACAGCTTATGCTTGCTTTGCTAGCTTGCCTTGCCTTTATTATGCTATTTCTAGGTTAGGTTTATTTTATCATGCATGCTTATGCTTGATTTCCTAGGTTAGGTGCTTTCCTATATTTTATTATAGTTATAGCACCGAACCAGGTTACGTGTATCGAATTCCAGACCTTTCGGTTGCCATCGAATTGCTCGCTACCGAGTTTGAGAAGGTTCTGTTTGGGACGCTTCGCGACCCTTAGAACACTCGCATAACACATGGGTTACTGTCCTTCTATCAAAACTATATATAGCCTTTGTGTTGTATCCAAATGAATCAATTTTGAACGCGATCCTCGATCCTCACAATTGTGCCCTTGGCACGGAGGTTCTTGAGGACACGCACATTGAGCTCGAGTGTATTGCAACGGCTCTACCTTATATCGCTGCCATGCTGCTTGCCCCTGAGGGAGACCCAGATGGACTAGATATCCTGACTTCGCGCTCTAATGCAGAGGAAATTACGGGTCCGTACTCCTCTTAGTGTTAGACAGCTATGGACGCAAAGATGGCATTTTAGAAGTCCACAGGCACCTATGTCGACGCAGTTCCCCTTCTAAGGCGAAAATAGTCAATGGCATGTGGGTTTTCAGGGTGAAGCGGCCGCCGGGTTCTCCGCATGTCTTCAAGGTGCGTTATGCTGCACAAGGCTTCAGTCAGCGACTGGGAGATGACTTTTTTCTGGACATTCTCCCCCACCCTGAAGATGACTACTCTTCGGGTGTTACTGCATATTGCAGCACAACGTGACTACGAGCTCCACTCGCTTGACTTCACCACAGCCTTCAAGCAGGGCAGCCTTCGCGAGGAGATCTAGATGCGCCGCCCGCCTGGCTTCACTGGGTCGTTTCCTGAGGGTACCCAGTGGAGCCTCCGACGGCCAGTCTATGATCTCCAACAGGTGCCTCCTGAGTGGAATGACGCAGTGAGGACGAAAATTGCAGCTCTTGTGTTTTCCCCTTCCACTGCTGACCCGTCATTGTTTCTGCGCACCGACACTTCTCTGCCGCCGTTCTACATCCTCGTGTACGTCGACTACTTGGTCTTTGTTGCTGCTGACATTGAGGCACTAGCCCTTGTGAAGGTGGATCTGTGGAAGAGACACACTTGCACTGACCTGGGTGAGATGCGCATCTATTTTGGTCACACATGGTGCAGCAAGTCCTTCAGCGCTTCGGCTTTCGATTCTCCTTGCCACAGCGCACTCCTCTACCTACGAGCCACTAGCTCACAGCTCCACCTTCGGACGAGTTGGAAGAGCCGAGTGGTCCTTATTCAGAGCCTGTGGGCTGCCTCACGTACCTGATGACGTGCACACAACCTGACCTCGCGTACCATCTCAGCATCCTTGCTCGCTTCGTTGAGCCCGAGAGACACAGGAAGGAACACCGAACAGTTGCGCTAAGAAAATACTGCATTACTTATGCTTTACATCAGGCATGGAGCTTGTGCTTGGAGATAGGGTGCAGTTGTACTCACTGGGCACTCAGACGCTTCCTGGCAGACAACCGGGAGAATCGGCAGTCGTCACAAGGTTACACGTTCACTCTTGTCTCTGATCCTATCTCCTGGAGGTCCACCCTCTCGTGGTCGGAGGAAACGGAGAGTGAGGAGCAGCGTGCTGCCCCCTTTCAACGCAGAGAGTCCACAGCGGTGCAAGCGACAGCGGAGTGGGGCTAGGGAGTGCGGGAGCCTAGAGACAAGGAGACGGTAGTGCATGCGATGGAGACGCTGAAGGGAGAGGAGACCAAGATGGTGGTGCTAGAGGAGGGTCGGGTGCGTGAGCAATCATCACAAGCAAGACGCAGCTATCTGACCTAACATAGCCACCTGAGCAGACTCAGTGTGCAGTGTGTACAGTCCAAACCCCGAACTCTGTGTGAACCTGACAAGGTGGTCTCCAGTTTTTGTGTCCGTACAGATCGTCACAGGCTCGCCTCCAGGAGTGGTGGTAGTGACCATCAGATCCTAGAGGTGAGCGGTACCCACTAAGATCAAAGCGAACAAGGGGAGGTGGTGACCTGTGAGGGAGCCAGAGGGGGCTGCTAGACAAGGGAGAAGAGTGGAGTAGCGTGCAATGACTGTTCTAGAGGAGGAGTCGGTTAGGGTGACAGGGACAGATGCCAGGAGTGGTGTGACTATGGTGCAGTCCCGGAAGAAGCACTAAGATGCGTTGGAGTCTAGTTTGAAGGTGTGCAAAGCCTCCGTAGGAACCGTACCTGTGTTAGCAAGCTCACTAGAACCTACACTACCAGCCTCTACACTGCCAGATCTAGGCACACAAGAATAATAGTCGCCCTCAATACTAGCACCAATAGCATACATAGCATACATGCTCGCAAAGATCTTGTCTCAATCAAGAGAAAGTACATCTACACCCTTACTGAGCAATCCTAACCAGACAAGTACCCTGGCGTGCTCACCAAACTCTGCTATATGGTGTTTTCGAGGCGGCAGAAATAGTGCGCCTCACTGTGCCCCAGCTTGCCGCTGGGTCCGCCACTCTGTGGGCCTGTGCAACGGCCGTACTGGCAGTGACCACCACCACTAGAGGAGCCTCGCTGGGCTACCCACACACGAGGCTGTTGCGCCGACAAAGTCTTCTGCCAATGAGGCTGCTACTCCTGCTGCTATCCACCCCCCGACCTACCACCTCTGCTAGCTGCACGACCAGGCGCAGCTCTTGAGCCTCCACCCCCCCCCACCCGCGCCAGCTCCTGCCATTCTAGGTCCCACCACGACCCCAACCACCCCCACTGCCTCCAGCAGCCCCGCCAACCCCACCGCCACCACCACCTCCACCACCCTCACCGCTACTGCCACTCCCACCACCCCCACTTCCCCCACCCCTAATACTCTGCCACGGTGCCTCCCGCTTGGAGCAGACGCAACACCGACCTTTTCAGCATTAAGGAGGTCAACAGCAGCAGCACAGGCAATTGAATGTGCAATAAGAGAAGGGGAGCACCCCTCAAGGAAGGAGGGGCTGGGAAGCCACGGGAGGTAGCTATAGCACGGGCACTGGTCTCGGCCTCGAGGAGACAACTTTCAAACGAGGCAAGGGTGAGCTTAGTGGAGTCGAGGGAGAGGAAGTGATCTCGAACGGCCCAAAGAGAGTCAGGGAGGCAAGTCGTGAGGAAGTAGAGAGTGAGATACATAAAGGGCTGGTTCCCAGTCAAAAACTTTGGCTTGAGAGCAGCACGGTAGCGCATGACAAGGGAGCGCAGGTGAGTCATGAGGTCGGCGACAATGGTGAAGTCAGACAACTCAGGGAAGATTAATGGCAGCACCGGACGGCCTAGGGTGGCGGAAGTGGGGGAGGAGTAGTGCTTAACTACAGCGTCAAAGAGGTTTTTGGCCGACTTTTCCTGGCGCTTGTTGATCCCCTGGTCGGGCAGGAGGTGGGCATGGGATGTTAGCTGGGAAGTGGCGTCATGTGCCAACCACTGTGTGCAAGTAACTCTATCAGTCGTATACTGTTGCTGCATGTCCTCTGGCGCAGTATGGGCAAGTGCCGTCGGAGTGGGTGGGGCCTTAAGAGACCCCAACGTGTGCTCAAACAGTGAGACGTCGTCTTTGGTGGCACTATGCAAGTACAGGTGCAAGTCCTCAAGCCAGGATTTGTACTCGACAAGGCGCCCCTCTGTGTCAAACGGAAGGACAGTATCGGTCGCCATGGCAGCGGCTAGGCCAGGCTGCAGCACTGAAAACGAGGTGGCACGAGAGTAGTGGGCGGCACAGTGCGGCGCGGCAGTAGACAATGCGGCGCAGTAGCAAGCAGTAACTGGTGGCGGGGAGCCAGGCGTAGGGGGCAGCGAGTGAGCAGCATGCGGGCGGTAGTGGGCGGTGCGCGGGACGCAGCGAGCAGCGCACTGGCGGCAGCGGGCGGCGCGGAGGTGGTAGCAGGCTAGCAGCATGCATTGTGCGGGCTGCAGCGGGCGGCGTACGGGCGACAGCGCGGCGCGCAATCAGTGCGCGCACATGAGTAGGCGGGGAAACTCGCGGCGGCAGGGTAGCGCGCGAGGTGGCAGGGCAGGGCAGGGTGCTCGTGTGGTGGCAGGGCAATGCGCAGCCGCAGAGCAGTGCACAACAGCAGGGCAGAGCGCACGGCAGCAGGGCAGCGCACAGTAAAAGTGTAGGGCAGGGCACGTGGGCAGTGATAGGGCAGCACAATCGTAGGTACAGTAGCAGACAGACTCAATGATACCATGTCATATTTTCGGAATGGTTGACTAGGGGAGATTGGTGAAACAAGCACAAACCTCAACTGTGCTATCCCCCGTAGAGTGTGGCCCACTATAGCCTACAAATGTGTCATTAATTCTACAACTACCGTACAATAGTGTAGCTCCAAAAGAAATGCCATTATTTCCTGATAAGCTGTTTCAAACAGCGTCCCTTAAATTGAATCTTTTGCATGGGCCATGTGCATTTCAAAAGCTCCTTATGGCTATGATTAGGCGCTTAAATAACTTCACACATTGCATCCTGGAGGCGAATTGGCACACATGCAATGGCTGTAACAGCCAGACGGCAACAAGGCAAGTGGGTGGCAGGGCGGAGAGCGAGGTGAAGAGCTCCAGGGCAGGTGCAGGACGAGGTGGGGGGCTCCAGGGCGGGTGCAGGACGAGGTGGGGGGCGCTAGGGCGGGTGCAGGACGAGGTGGGGGGCGCTAGGGCGGGTGCAGGACGTGGTGGGGGGCGCTAGGGCGGGTGCAGGACGAGGTGGGGGGCGCTAGGGCGGGTGCAGGACGAGGTGGGGGGCGCTAGGGCGGGTGCAGGACGAGGTGGCCGAAGTGAGCGGCGCCGGGCGAGGAGCCGCGGAAGAGGTGTGGGCGATGGCCCGTGGCGCTCTGAAAGCGGCGGCACACGTCGTCCACCGCTGCCTGCGCTGCTGCCGTGCTGTCCCCTAGCACACACACCGTGCCCCCACTGCCTCCCCCCGTTATCTTGGCGCCCCACAGCGGTCCCTGTGGCCGTAATGCACCGCAGGGAGACAGGCACGGGGAGGCATGCATTGGGAGGACAGGTGTTGGGAGGGAAGGCATGGGGAGGAACGCATTGGGTCGGGAGAAAAGGCAGCACGTCCATGCATGTGCACGTTGGCACGACATGGGTGTGGCCTCTTTGCAACAACCTTGTAATCTTCCATGTATCAGGTGAGCGCATGGGCAGCAGACTCACATGCGGCCCCATGTGAGTGCGGGCGAGGGCGACTATGAGGTCGGTAGCGGGCGACCCCAGCCCGCACGCCGTGTAGCTCCCATGGCTCTGCCCGCGCACAGGCACACCATGGCACCGTGCACGGCAGGGTGAGGCGCGCAGGGAGCAAGGGGTAAAAGGTGACAAGGTATGGAAAGTGCAATGGGCAGGGATAAAGGGGGCATGATATGGGCGGCGGGATAAAGGGGGCATGACATGGGCGACTTGAGGCAAGAGCGATGATTCTGGAACCTGTGGGTGAGGGAGGAGAGAAGCAGCTATGGGTGGCGTACCTGCATCATCAGCTCTCCCAGCAACGCCATCCGCTCACACCTCCTTCCGCCTGATCCAGCGCCCCCACCCACATCCGTCCCCCCATCCCCGTCGGCCTCTTTGCCTTCCCCCTCCCCCTCTTCCCCCTTCTCCTCGTCCCCCACGGCTGCGAGCAGCAGGGAGCGAAAGCAGCGCGTGCGAAAATGCTCCATGATGGGGTGGCGTGTGGCTGGCAGCACGGGGTAGAGCACATCGGGAGCCACGGTGGTGACGGGGTCGCCGTGGGAGGCATGGTGCGCGAGGAACGCGCTGCCCTGCATGGTGAGGGGCAGCACGCGCTCCAGTAGGGGCACGCTGGCATGAGCGGGCAGGGGTTGATGGGGTGGGACGTGAGCTGGGGAGGGTGAGGGGCGGGGCAGGGATGTGCGTTAGGATGATGGGGAGAAAGGGAGAGGGGTGAGAGGGTGGGGATGGAAGAGTGTGGGCAGAGGAGGAAGGGAAGGTGGCATTGGGATTGGGGAGTGTGGAAGAAACGGGTGAGGAGAGTAAGTGTGAAGGGCAGGTTGTGTGACGGCCTGACAGATGAAATTGGGTACGTGGAGCACCTGAAAGTTCCACTTGGAAAATCACCTGCCCAACCATCTGACGACCATCTGACGACCACCTGATGACCACCTGATGACCACCTGACGACCACCTGATCAAGGCCCTGAGCAGTCACCTGTGCGGGTCCAGTTCACAGAGGCATGACAGCGGCGGCGTTGCGGTCGATGTGGTAACATGCGGTGCTGCAGTGGCGCCCTCCTGCTGCCATGGGCGCATGCGGTGACATGCACACATGCACGCACACATGCATGCACAGACAGGCACACGCACGCATGCATGCATGCACGTATGCAGAGGCATGGAGAAGGGATGAGAGGGCCCATGGTGGCGAGCATGTGGAGTGCTGTGCTGTGGTCACAACACGGCCACGCCAGGGAGGAAAGAGCACAGCCATGTGCCTATAACAAGTGCTAATGAGAGGCAGGGCCAGTGCTTGTTACCACAAGCATGCATGGATTGCGTGTGCCCCGCCTCTCAACTGCCCGGATGGATCTTGCCACGTGCTGCCATGAGAGCACGAGCACGCGTGGCTGACGCGGGAGCAGAGGGCGGGTGCGCGCATGGTGGAGGAGGGGCAGGAGAGAGGCGGCCGCACATAGGCCCAGCACAGCACCGCACACACACTCACAGCAGCTTCGCTGCTCTCATCTCTACCGGTATTGATCAGCGTGAGTCCAAAGAACGCCGTTACCCTCACAGTGCCCTTCCCCCCCCCCTCCCCCCCAACGCACCGCACAGAAATGCGCAGCACACTCACATCATCCTCCGTGCTCTGCCGTCTACCGGCGTTGATGAGTGTGAGCCCCATGAACGCCGCTGCGCGCACACCGCTGTACCCCGCGCCCCCCACGCTGTGCCGCGCACCCGAGTCAATGCCCCACAGCTCCACGTGCGAGGGCAGTGGCAGGCAGCCGTGCACGGTGGCGGGGCGGCACAGCAGCGCCAGCAGCGACACGGGGCGCGCGAGGGTGACGGCCATCTGGTCCATGACACCGCAGGGCGCTCCCACCACCCTGTTCTCCACCTGGGGGGGGGCAAGGGGGGGCCAGGGGGCAGGTGGGTGGATGCATGGCGAATGGATAGGCGAGTGCATGCGCAGGGAGAGGCATGGGATGGGCGAGCTGATAGTGATTGTGGTTATGTAACGTGCAATGTGAGCAAACTTGTGTGTGCAGGAGGGGCGGGTGCAGTGCAGCACAGCACAGCAGCAGCATGGCATGGGTATGGCAGCAGCATGGCAGGGGTATGGCAGCAGCATGGCATGGGTATGGCAGCAGCATGGCAGGGGTATGGCAGCAGCATGGCATGGGTATGGCAACAGCATGGCATGGGTATGGCAACAGCATGGCATGGGTATGGCAGCAGCATGGCATGCGTATGGCAGCAGCATGGCATGGGTATGGCAGCAGCATGGCATGGGTATGGCAGCAGCATGGCATGGGTATGGCAGCAGCATGGCATGGGTATGGCAGCAGCATGGCATGGGTATAGCAACAGCATGGCATGGGTATGGCAACAGCATGGCATGGGTATGGCAGCAGCATGGCATGGGTATGGCAACAGCATGGCATGGGTATGGCAGCAGCATGGCATGGGTATGGGCGTACGATCTGGCACATGCGGGCGAGGTGCCAGGGGGGCACGTGCATGGCCAGAGCATGCACGAGGGCTGTCATGCTGGCCACCTCCACCGCTGCTGATGACGCCACTCCCACGCCCTCCGGTACATCCGATGCCACCACCACCGCCACCCCCTCCACTCTCCCCTCCACCCCACCCCCGCCCCCGCCCCCTTCCCCCTGCCCTTCCCCCTGTGCCTGCCCCTGTTCCTCTCCGCCCATCCACGCCTGGCGGAAGTCCGCCTGTCTCTCCCTGGCCAGAACCACCAGCGCCCCTGCCACATATGCTGCCCACCGCGTTCCGCCTGCCCCTTCCCCTCCCCCTGGCTCTCCACCTTCCTTTCCCAACTCTCCCGCCTGTGCTGCCCCTTCCTCCCCCCCACCGCCCGTGGCTGGCCCCCCCGCCAGCAGGGCGTGGGCGGAGGCATAGTCGAGGGCGCAGGGCGCGGAGTGGGGGGGAGAGGCGTAGAGGCCGGGGAGCAGGCGCGCGAGGGGCAGGGAGACGGAGGGCACTCGGTGGTTGGCGGCGGCGGAGAGGGACACGATTCGCAGTGAGGGGGGAGGCGCAGGGGGCGTGGCAGGGGCGGAGGGGGCGGAGGGGGCGGAGGGGGCGGAGGGGGGCGCGCGGATGACCTGAATGGCCACGTGGCACGCCTCTGCTGTTGGCATCTGGTGGGGGATAGGAGAGGGGATGCGAGGGGAAGGGAGGGGAGGGAGGGCTATTGAGATACAGGAGAGGCAAGCCTGAGGGTGGGTGCCACACGAGAGGCACCTGATGCCCACCTGATGCCCACCTGAGGCCCACCTGATGCCCACCTGAGGCCCACCTGATGCCCACCTGAGGCCCACCTGATGCCCACCTGAGGCCCACCTGATGCCCACCTGAGGCCCACCTGATGCCCACCTGAGGCCCACCTGATGCCCACCTGAGGCCCACCTGATGCCCACCTGAGGTGTACCTGAAGCACAAGCGAGCCGGAGTAGTCAGCAATGCCGCCCATGACGTCCAGACGGCCGGGCGCTCTGGTTACCACCAGCGGCTTCGACCAATCAAAGAGCTCCGCCGCCAGCGACAGCTCGTGGCGCTCGGGGTCGCCATATGCCGCGCCGTCCGCGGCCGGGGGGACTGGGGGAGACGCGCGCGGAGCGGAGGGAAGGAAGGGGGGAATGCGGGAGGGGCAGAGAGAGGGTGAAAGGCACGGGTGAAGCCACACGTGCAGCTGGAGGAAGGTTGGAGGGTTGTGGGAAGAAGAGCGCGAGGTGAGGGGGGGGGCGTGGGGAGGGCGCAAGGAAGCATGGCGGCAACTCGTCTGTGGCACCCACGACTAGCCGCAGCGCGCCACGCACCGCCGGCTCGGAGCGCGTCGAGCAGCGCGAGGAAGCGCTTCGTGTCGGGCAGGCCGCGGTCGTCGCCCTCCACGCGCATGGCGCCGCGCGGCATCCCCGCGATGCCCGAGGAATGCGCACGAATCGCGCACTCCTATGCGCTTATCTACCTAGGCTGCTGGAAGGTGGCGGTTAGCGGGTAGTGGGGGGGGGTTGGCGGAGGTAGGTGAATGGCGATCCCATGCGCCCCTCGTCCACCCTCGCATTCGCTTGACATTCCGACATTGGCAACAGCAGGTGCAAATACCGCATAAGAGCACCTTCGTTTAGGATCTTGTCTGAAACCTGTTCCCTTACGTGGTTGTATAAACTTGAACCCTCGTTTTATGTGGAAGTTCACTGGATAGTACTGAATGGGTAGAAAAGAAAATTACATTATTCCTCCTATGTAGGCTGACATTCCGTGTCTGCTTGAGACAGTCAACTGTGTGGCAAGATCGATGGCCATCACAAGTTCATTTTGCAGAGGTACTAGTACTTGGTGTCAGGTGGGTGGGTGAGTGGGCGGGAAATAGGTAACAGTTGCTGATGCCTCATCTCCTGCTTCCATCAACATTCCTCATCACATGTGGGCCCCCCTCAGCTTGACCCCATACCAGGCCACTGTGGTCCGCTGAAAACTGAGAAGCACACGCAGCACGCAGGTGAAGTGGTCAGGCACGCACGCCACTTCACACAGGAGGTGGTGGTCACACACGCACGCCGCCTGAGAGGCGAGTGGTGGGCGTGAGTGGGGACTGAGAGCACTGGCCCACGGGGGCATGCACTGGCAGTGGGGTGGCCATGCAGCAGCATGGTGAACTGTACAGGGAGGGAGGTGGTTGCACTGCGAGCACTCGTCCTGGGTGGTGGGCGTGACAGGGTAGTCGTACACAACACACGCGCATGGGAGGGTTGCTGTATGCAGGGAAGCACATGAGGGGTGTGCCTCCCTGCTACCTGCTGTGCATAACGGGTTTGTCTCCTGCGGATAGGGGTTCCCCTGGCTGCCATGTCACAGGCTGTCGTCTGGCACTGCTGCTGCCGTGGCCTTCTGGGCCTTCTCTCGCTGCTCCTTCTCCTTCGCACGCCTTTCCTTTTCCTTCTCCCGTCGCTCCTTCTCCTTCCTTCTCTTCTCTTCTCGCTTCCGCTTCTCCTCCTCCTTTTTCCTCTTCTCCTCTTTCTGCTTCTCCTTCTCATCCGCATCTCCACCATCCCCACTATCACTGCTAGCACCACTGCTGCTGTCACGGAACCCCATGAGGCGCTGTATGCTCACCACAGCGCGGCACCACCACTTGCCTCGGTCACACGCCATCACCTGCATTTGCCCGCCCGCCCCTCCACTCCCCCCGTCCCCCCCATCATCCCCCCCATCGCCCCCGTCGTCCCCAGCGCCCTGCTGCAGCAGGAATTGAGTGACAGCAGCGCGCACGAAGGCGCCCGCCTCGTTCTGCAGCATGGAGCTCACGAACGAGTCGATGGCGCCGGGGGGGATGCGCAGGGGGGTGAGCGCGGCAGCGATGGCCACCATGTCCTGCTGTAGCGCTGAGAGCACCGCACTGCCGTTGTATGAGTAGGGCACCGCTGTGCTCATTGACGTCACCGGGGGCAGCGTCCCTGCAGTACGCACAAAGAGAGGGAGAGCGCAGATGTGAGTGGTGTGCGAGGCGAGACGGTGGATGGGCGTGGCAGTGGGGAGCATGGGATGGGCGTGGCAGTGGGGAGCATGGGATGTGGGACATGGCATGAAGGGGGTGCATGGAGCGTGGCGTGCAATGCAGCACAGGGCTGTGCCAGGGCGATTGCAAGGCGGGCTGTAGGCCCAGCAGCAGGCGGCATTCAAAGCATGAGTGAACAGCATATCCCCATGCGAGCTCACAGCCTTCAGCACATGCAGCGTGGGGAATGCTCACAGGGGCAGTCAGTGCGGGGTGAGGAGCGCAGGGAGAGGAAGGGCATGAGCGAGCCCGCCCAGGCGTCCCTGGCCGTCAGCACGTCCTTCTTGGAGGTCAGCCCAAACACGTCCCTCAGTGTCGCCGCCACCGACGTGTGGTCAAACTGCGATGTCGAGTACAGCCCTCTCGGGCGGTGGATGACTGGCGCGCAGCGAGAAGGGTGAGGGGAAAATGAGCAGGGGGGAGTGGAGGAGTGGTTGAGGTGCGGGAGAGAAAGGAGAAGGCCGGATGAGTGGCGGAGGTGGGAGGGAAAAGCGGATGAGGGGAGGAGGGGGAAAGGGGAAAAGTGGATGAATGGCGGAGGGGGGGAAAGCGGAACAGCAGATGAGCGAATGGCGGATGTTTCAAACCCCTGGTGCGCGAAGGTAAGGGCTGATGAATTGCGACAGAAGGGGAGAGGGAAAGGGAGGGGAGGGAGGATGTGTGGCAGAAGGGGGAAGGGGGTTAGGGAATGGAGAAGGCCGCACCCATGCCTTTGTCGACCCAGGGCGAGATGACGAAGGTGGGCACGCGCACGCCGAGGCGGCGGAAGTTAAAGCCGTCCTCCTCGCCCAGCATGCCGTCGGGGGCCGGCACACCCGCCATGGGCGGAGGCACGTGGTCGAAGAACCCGCCGTGCTCGTCGTACGTCACGATCAGCAGCGCGTTGCGCCACTGCGGCCCGGCGCGCAGCGCCTCGTACACGTCTTTAATCAGCTGCTGGCCGTGGCGCACGTCGTGCCCTGGATGGTCGTCGTTGCCCGGCTGGCGCGTGAAGTCGAAGTACTGCGGCTCGAGAAACGAGTACGCGGGCAGCCGCCCCAGCCGCGCCTGCGCGTAGAACATCTCGATCGGGCGGAACCTGCGCGCGTGCTTCCGCCGGCGCAGCGAGGAGAGCGCGAGCGACGCGGGGATGTCGTGGTAGTAAATGCCGAACGACACGCCGTTGCGCGAGAGGACGTCGAATATGGTGCGCGCGGGGAAGCCCGCGAGCAGCACGGGCTTGCGCTCCGCCAGGAGCCCCTTGGACGTGGCGGCGTGCAGGAAGTAGCGGTTGGGATGGGTGGGGCCCGGTACGGACGAGAACCAGCGGTCGCATACGGCGAAGTTGGTGGCGAGCGCGGTGGTCACGGGGAGCGCGGCCGGCGGGAAGGCGGCCATCACCTCCGCGGAGAACCCCTCGCGCACCTCCTCCGCCTGCTGCGCGAATCCCCGCATAAGCCGCGAAGAGGCCTGCGAGAGGTAGTGGGGGCGGAGCAGAGCGGGCAGATGAGAGTCGCAGGTGAGGGCGTTTGGGCGGGAGCAGTCGCGGAAGGAGAGGGCAGGCGGCGGGAGGATCAAGAGGCAAAGAAAAAGAAAAGGCGGCAGAGGGCGGAGGGGCGATAAGGAACGGCAGCGGCGGGATGGCAGGCTTAGAATCCCTGCGATGGAGCCAGGTTTGTTAGGGACGCGGATGGGATGGGGACACGCAATCGGTCAGACGGGCTGAATTGCTGGCGGTGGTGCGAGCATGAGCGCGTCACGTGTCGTACCTTAGCTACCAATTTCCCGCCGAAGATTTGATTGCGAACGCCCTTGAACGAGTGGTCGGGGTCCTCGCTGCAGTTGTACCGCGCTCTATCGTTAATGCACACTTGCTCGAACGTCACCCCGCCAGCCGAATTTCCCGTCACGCTCGACTCGCCCGAATCGCCCCCGCCAGCCGAATCACCCGACAGGCTCGACTCGCCCGAATCGCCCGGGTCGCTTGATGGGGCCGGCGGGTCGGCGGCGCGGGCCTTGGCGACGATGGGGTTGCACTCGGAGCCATCGAGGCCGTCGATCTCGGCGTTGCGGGGCTGCAGCCAGCCCAGCACGTGATCGAACGAGCGGTTCTCCATCATCAGCACCACCACGTTCTTAATGCGCTCCGACGCCGCCACGTGGCAGCTGATAACTAGAAAGAGTAGCGAGAGACCGGATAAAGTGGCACGGCGGCGGAGGCGAAAGCGCCGCGGCGGGCGCCATTGCTGGGGCATCGCTGAGGTCTAGGCCGGAAATGGAGTATCGCCGTGTGAGAACAGCCGCCTACTTGGAGATCCTTTACGCGGGACTTTATACAACCGTGCTATACGAACGAGGACACGTGGGCAATTCTGTCACGAATGACTCCTTGGCGGCTTGAAGCAGCTCAACCACATCATAGGTAAGTTGGTTCCTCCTCGTATTATACCTGGCGAAGAGGAAAAGGGAGACCACGCCTGCCTGTGGGGTGAAAGCAATTCTGCATGGCAGCCAACACGATCCGCATAAGTGCTAGAGTGTAAGCAGGTTACCCTGTTCTGCTCCCCCCCAGCGAGTGGCGTTGAAGGAAAGGCAAGCTGCAAATTGTCAGGGTCGTGTCACCTTGCGGCAGCAGGCCTACCCTGCCTGGCCCCTACCCTACCTCAGGTCGCCTTTGAGGCGAAGAAAGGTGGGCGAAAATTTCCCGAAACGTCTCCGTTCTAGCTCTCCTCGGATTGGTTGTACCCCAGCCGCCGCCCTTTCCCTCACGAGTCGCGCTGCTCTGCGACAGATTACGATCGCGAACGGCTTGTGAGTTTGTGAGTCGCCACCATTACCAGTAGACGGGGGCGAAGATGGACGAACTAGACAAGCAGTTTCGCCGGGAGTGACGAAGAGCCAGGTAGAAAGTGCGATCGCGTCTGAAGATTCTGTGGTGCCGTGGCAACCCTTTGTTCACGCCACGCCACGCCACGCAACCACTCCCCCCAAACCTCACCCCCCCGCCCCCCCCCCCCCTTCGGTCCAGGCATAACAGTCGGCGAACGATCATACCGATGCAATGCACTTATAGCGAAGCAAATATTCTTATGCAGCCATATATACAAATAAAAAATAGCTGGCTGACAGCCTCATCGCCAACTTTTTACATGTCCACCTGTACAATCACTCCTGAGAGATCATTGCACAACGTCCAGCGTGATATACGTTTCAATTTTAAATTAAAATTGCATAAGTGACGAGGAGAGCCGATTTTAGTGTTCAACCGCAGCATCAAGGCACTGGGCAGCAGTGCAAACATGCTGGCAGTCAGGCACTGGGAGGCGGTCAGGCAGCAGGACAGGACGTGTGCAGGACAGCAGTAGTTACCACGGTCATCCTGATCCTCCAGTTCCCAACGTTGCATCCGTCTCAGGCCACAGTGTGCTGCTCACAGCTCTGCATCTGCTGAGCTGCTGGGATCAGTGTGGCACACTGTGGGGCTATTCAGGGCTGACTGTGACCGTGAGTGTGCGGGTGAGCGAGGGCTGTTAGCTACCCTCGTGTTGGTGACGAGCCGTGGGCTGCTGTGTGAGGCAGTGAGGGCCTTTGGACTAGGGAGGGCCTTTGGACTAGTGAGACATGTGGACGTATCTGCTCCTCTGTGCCGCTCCATGCCAGACCTGCTGGCTGTTGGGCTGTTAAGTGGGGAGCGATGGAGGTGGGACAAGCTGCAGGAATGTGTGTGGTGGTGGGTAGGGGAGAGGGGCGAGCGGATGGGGGCAGTGGTGGCTGTGCAGCGTGCGGAGTGCGCTCTGCATGGAACGGCTAGCCTTGGAACCCCACCTTCCTCCCCATCCTCCTCCTTTTCCTGCTCCTCCCCCTCTTCCTGCTCCTCCTGCTGCCATGGCTGGACGAGAGCGTGCGTTGGTGCAGCAGTGGAAAAGGACACGGGTGGGGGAAGCATCACACTGCTCGTCCCTGAGGCACACCCCAACCGTGGGGAGGAGGCCGGGCTGTGACTGTATCGAATGTGATCCTGTACGCTCTCAGGCGGCTGTGTCCTGCCACTGAACCCCCTCCCATGGCCTCCATCCCTCCTCCCAGCACCTCCTCCTACCTGCTCCCCGGCATTGCATGCTGCAGCTACTCCTTTGGAACCGGCGTGACACGTCAACTCTGCACATGTGGAGCTGGGCGGCGCCTGGCTAGGCGGTGTGGGGTGGGGCGGCGTCAAGAAGCGAGCCATCAGTCGCCACATGGGCACGTCTGCTTCTTCCACATGCATCCCATCATGGGCACGCTGCCACGTGGCAGAATCTGATTGGCCGCCGAAGCTGAATGATGCGCGGCGCTGCGGCTGCCTGTTTCTCAAGGCCACATTCCGTGCTTGCAATGATCCCCCCTTCCTTCCCACTATCTGTGCCCCCCACTCGTTCTCTCTTTCTTCCTCCCTCCAATCCTTCCCCATCTCCGTCCCCCTGCTCACCTCCTGTCCCCACTTCTCTCGCCTCCCTATCACTTCGCATTGCCCCTGCTCCCTCCCCCCGCCTCCCCGCTTCCCCCACGGCTCCAACGGCTGCCCCGCAAGCAGCCGCGCGGGCGGGCAGCTACGGGGCGCGGGATGGCTGGGGGAGCGGGGGAGGGCGAGGGGCAGGATGGGGAAGGGCAAGCGGGTATGGTTGGCAGCGGAGGGGGAGAGCTGCGGCTGCAGTTGCGAGGGCGGGCGGTGGAAGCTGCGCGCGCGGGCAAGCTCGGCCGCCTCGTGCGCCATTGGCGCATCAGACTCGCGGCGGCGGGCGGGCGGGTGGTGGAAACTGGCTGCGCGGGGAAGTTCCGCCGGGTCGTGGAAGGCGTATTGCGCCGCGCGCTCGGGGATGGGAGGGCGCGGGGACGAGTGCGCGCTCGGCGCGCGCGGACGGGACGCCTGGAGCAAGCGCGGAGATGCGGAGGCGGAGGAAGGAGGGGAAGGGGCAGCGTGAGGAGAGCGCGGGTGTAGCAGCTTTGGAGATTCCGCGCAGGGGGAGGCGAGCAGGTGGGCAGAGGGGCTGGCAGCAGCAGCGGTCGGAGAGGGAGTGGGGGGGGAGGAGGCGAATGAGGAAGGCGAGGAAGCAGCGGAGTCAGCAGACGCGGTGGGGGAGACAGCGGCCGCGGCGAAACGGCCATTGACGGCCTGCGGGGCCCTGACGGCAGCGCGGGTGGTGGAGGTGCCAGGGGACGCGTGGGGGGCGCATTGAGAGGGCAGGATGAGCGACGGCGGGCGTGGCCCGCGCATTTGCATGCCTTGGGCTTCCCCTGCTGCTGTGGAGGCGGCAGGCCGAACGCGAGCGAGCGGGCCACGGCTGGCAGGAGAACCGGCGTAACCGCCGGAATGGAAAGCACTTGCCTCAGGGGTACCTTGGAACGCCGCCCGCTCGGCTTGCGAATAATCGCGGTGCGTCGCTGACGGACGAACTGCGCTCAGAACGTTCGGCGCGACGAGATTCTGCGATTCTTGCGCCTTGGAGGAAGTTGACGCGTCGCCGCGTGGAGAGCCGACGAGCGCCGCGTCGCGCTGCAGGCGAGTCGGCGGCACGGCGCCACGTCGAGACCCAGGAAACGCGCGCCGTTGGCTCTCCATTGCGCGCCCATTGCCAGGAGCGGCTCCTTGCGCAGCTGCGCCAGATGGTAACCGCGGCGATGGAATTCTTGGCGAAAAGGCAGGCGAAGAACCATGAGGCGAAATGTTTCCACCAGGCGAGAAAACCCTGGGCGAAAACGTGGGCGAAAGATCGCCATCGCAGGTGCTCGGCGTGGCGGGGAACGAGAAGCCGTCCCAAGAATTCGACGCCGCTTCAGCTTCGGCCCCCCCTTCCGCTGCGAGTTTGACTAAAGCGGAATCAACGGTGAGCGAGGGAGGGCCAGACGCTCGCGACTCGAGCACGGATGGATGGATGGGCGCGGGCGTGCCGTGGCGGGAGCCTAGGATCTGGCGACGGTGCTTCTGATGGCGACGATCCCTGGCGACGGATTCGGGCGACTGCGACGGCACTTTGTCCTTGGGACTGACCGCGTGCATGCCCGCGTGCATGGCCGCCTGCAGGCATTCCCTTTGCGCGGACTGGGAGGACAACGAAGGGTCGATCACATCCATTGAGAGCTCCTAATCGCGATGCGACGATTAAATCTGAAAGCATTCTCCAACTCTTAACTTACAAAGCTAGAAACTCGCAGACAGACGCTGAAACTGCGGATTGCTGTTGGATGCGAGACCACAAGTGTGCTCGGTGGGTACAGCACCTAGGCAGCGAGGCCGACAGAGTCGCCAGCAGGGCCTACGTTATCAGGGCAATTACCCTGTTTTGACTGAAATTATAAGGTTTTTTTCACAGCAACCCTGAGTTTCACAAGGTAATTTTCGGACCAGCCCGTAAAACTGAAGGGTGATTTTTGAGCCCACTCGGAATACTCAGGGATGTTTTCAAGGGGACCCGGATAGTTTTAGAACACTTATCGTCCCCGACCTGCCTCGCATCCCCTCCCTCTCCCCGTGTACAACGCATAGGCCACTTTCAGTGAATTTTCCTTAGCATTCGCTCCTGGTTTGGCCTCCTGGTGTTTGACTTCCGGTACTACGTTGAGGTGGCTATTAGCACTCCTCCACGTATAAAAATTTCGAAGTATACAGAAAGTCTCTCTCCCCCCTCTAGCGTCGCTTTTTAATGGCCAACCTTCCCAGCCTTCGTAAAACTCACAGTGAGTCTCTCACCCACTGTGAGTTTTACGATCATAGCCCCATCCCGCGAGATTCTGGTAAGGTAGGCTTTCAGGCCTTTTCTGGCTCGAACCCGGATTTGTGAAGGCTTTTTCCCCACTGGCTCGTAATTTACAGGGTCTTTTTCACAGGGGCCCGGATCGTCCGAGCTAGCAAAAATCCTAGCAATAGCCCTGGTCGCCAGCCGACAGGGTTATGGCGATGGCTGGCTGTTTCTCGTGCGAGCTCCAATCCTTGGCGCTGTTCTGTAGGCGTTAAATTTCCAAAAACTGGGCCCGCGGAATTTTCGTTGATAAGAGGACTTCTGCCTACCAAGGTTTGGTGATAAGGGAACCCCTGCCAAACCTGTTCGCGCCAAATTTAACGCCCCCGCCTGCAGAACACCATTTTTGGGGCGCACAGATTTAACCGTCTGCAGGTTCGAAGTTGTTGCTTCGCCGGGCAAATGGTCGCACAATTAGTGCGGTGCTGATTCTACCTCGGGAGCTAGCACCAGCCTTGGCACAAGTTATGCGAGGCAGCAATGTCCGCGAAACGCAACTAGCATGAATGCGCCTCGAAATTACACGGAAGGCAACCGCGGTCAAATTGGTGCGACGCGAATGACGCCTGCAGAACAACGCCCATGTCATGTGCGTACTGTACTGGCACCGTATTGCTGTGGTGGTGCGGTGTGGGCCATGAGACGGGATGACGGGGGGCCGGGTGCTGCTCACCGCTCGTGCGTGACTGCCCTCGGGGTTTGGCAATCACGTGGAATTACCGCCTGCCGAGCACCACCCCACGCGACAATGGATGGATGATTGGCGCAGAAATGCAAGAAGGGCAGCGCTTGGCGCAAGCAACCGATTTTCCGCAACGCGAGGTGAAGGTCTGTTCCGGTTGGGGGGTCTGACAAGGCATGGGAGGGGGAGGGATGCATCTCAGCCACGGGGCAGGGCGGAATGCTCTGCGCGGCTGGAAGCAACGCAAGGCAGAAGGTGGGCGCGACTCGCTGACCTGGAGGCGGGAGGTGTCAGTTTCGCGATGGTTCGAACGCAAGATTGACGTGGCATACAAACAGGTTGACGGAAGAGAAGAATGGCGCGCCGAGCCAGGTTGAGTGTGGTGAAAATGCGGTCCCCTTTCAAGTGAAGTCAATGCTGCAGATAATTGTTGGAATCACGAATGCATGCGAAGTGGAATGCTGTGATAAAACACTGAACATTTATAAAGGAGCATTTTTTTTGGGTTGCGAAGTGTTACGAGTGCAATTTAGGGAGCGAACGAAGATTGCACTATCGAAGCAAGAGTACAATGAGCGAAGGCATGAGCGAAGGATTATATAGCGAAACTACAGTGGTAACGGTAATGTGTGAAAATGGGGTGCGCGACGGGCCTAGCGCCGTGGTTGGGAATTCTCGAGGGGAAGGTCCGGAGCGCGGGTTACCAGCCGAGCCGTGAGGTTGGGTCGCGTCGTGAACAGTGGCGGGAACAGAGTTGAGGCGAGTGTCGCGAGTGGTAACGGATTACTGTTGGGTGCTGTTGGCGGGAACAGTGCTGTACGCGCTGAGCAGGGACGCGAAGTAAGGAAAAGGAATTTTCCTTACACTACCCCCCCCCTAAGGAGGTTTTCCTTACGAGAGCGCGTGTACATCCCGGAAATTGCGGCTTCGCAGGTACTCGGTGAGGACAGGGTGATTCTCAATTCTGTCCAGGGGAACCCAGTTGTCCTCCGTGGGCGTGCGATCTTTCCAGCGGATCAGGAATTCGATTCTGCGGGCTCCCCGTGGGTCACGTACTCGATGGCTTAGGATTTTCTCAGGCGTGATGATTGGCTCCGTTGGTGGTCGTGTCATGCTGGCTGGGCGGTTGCGAGGCAGTTGGCTGGTGGATGGCACGTATGGGCGGAGCAGGCTTACGTGGAACGAAGGGCTGACGTACCAGTCAGCAGGGAGGAGGAGGTGGGCGGTAACAGGTGTGATCATGTGGCCGATGCGAAATGGCCCACAGTATCGGGGGCGGAGTTTCGGGGTGACGGGTAGGCGGAGGTTGTGGGTGTCGAGTAAAACTAGGTCGTCGGGCTGGTAAGTGACGGGGCGGCGGTGTCTGTCGGCGTTACGCTTAGCGATGACGTTTGATTTTTTTATGGCTTCTGCTGCTCGGGTCCGGGCTTCCTGTAATATTTCGGCGAACTGTTGTGCACGTGGAACGGGGTTGTCGGGATTCGGGGTCATGGGTACTGTGGGGTCTTGTCCGTAGTTCAGGTAAAAGGGTGACTGTTGGGTGGTGGCGGATGGCGAATTGTTGTAGGCGAATTCGATGAGTGGCAGTTGCTGTTCCCAGGTGGTTGGATCGTCACACGTGGCTCGGATGAGTTGCTCCATGGTCTGATTGGTCCGTTCTGTCTGTCCGTCAGTTTCGGGGTGGTATGATGAGCTGAACTGTAGTCGCGTGCCAAACTGCTGCCACAGGTTTCGCCAGAAGTTGCTGGTAAATTTCGTGTCGCGGTCGCTGATGATTGCTGCTGGTATCCCGTGCAGTCGTACGACGGTGGCGATGAAGAGGCGGGCTGTTTCTTCGGCTGTGATCGATTTCTTGCAGGCTGCGAAATGCGCCATTTTCGTCAGTCGATCGACGACGACCATGATCGCGTCGTTCCCACTCGCTCCGGCCGGTAACCCCGTGACGAAGTCCATCGTCACCTGCTGCCACGCACGCTCTGGGGGTGGTATCGGTTGCAACTGTCCTGCTGGCCGCTTCCGTGACGATTTCATGAGCTGGCAAGTGGGACACGATGCCACGTGTCGCTGTACGTCGGTCAACATCTCGGGCCAGTAATAATACCGCTGCAGCTGCTGCCGTGTTTTTTCTACCCCAAAATGTCCCGAGGTAACTCCGTCGTGTGCCTCCTGTAGCAGTAATTCCCGTAGCAGGGTGTACCCTGGTACCCAAATGCGGTCAGTTCCGGTTTTTACGTAATAGACTCCTCGTGCTGTTGCGAACTGCTGCGAGTTTCCTCCGGTGAAGAAAGGGTCTGTTTGATAACCGTGGGTAAATAGTCCTGTTAACAGTGGGCTGGTCTGGGCGAGTAGGATTGCGTGGATGTGGGCGGTAGGGCGGGTCAGTGCGTCTGCGAGGTTGGATGCTCCCTTTTTGTAGGTGACCGTGTAGTGAAAATTGGACTCGAGGAAATCGAGCCAGCGAATCTGTCGTGGGTTGAGGTGAGGCTGTGCGCGAAGGTACTGTAGTGATTTGTGGTCTGTCCGTACTGTCACGTCTGCGCCGGTCACGTAGCACCGCCACACTTTGAACGCGTGCACGATCGCGAGCATTTCGCGGTCGTGTATCGGGTAATTCTTCTCGGGCGGATGCAGTTTTCGTGACTCGTATGCGATGGGCTGTAGGCCGTTGCCGAAATCTTGTAGCAGTACTGCTCCAATAGCGATGTCGCTCGCGTCAGTAATTACTTCGAATGGGCGGTGTGGGTCGGCAATGCGCAGGACGGGCGGTGAACAGAGAACAGTTTTCAGGGCAGAGAAGGCAGCTTGCTCTTTCTCCCCCCACGTAAAAACGACCCCCTTCCGCAGCAAATCCATCAGTGGGGCTGTTAAGCAGGCCATGTCAGGGACGAACCGATGGACGTAATTAACAAACCCCAAAAAACTCTGCAGCTCGGTGATGTTGGTCGGGGGGTGCCATGCCTTGACCGTATCCAGCTTCCGTGGGTCAATCTCAATTCCAGCCTCCGAAATGACGTGTCCCAGAAACTCTAACCTATCTTGAAAGAATTCGCACTTAGACCCCTTGGTCAGTAACCTATGCTCCTCTAAAATCTTAAACACTGCTTCGAGGTCCGCTAAATGCTGCTGCTTATCGCGACTGTAGACGAGGATGTCGTCGAGGTAGACTATCACGCACTTATCTAAAAGCGGCCTAAACGCCTCGTTCATGGTCATTTGAAATGTCGCAGGTGCGTTGGTCAGCCCGAAGGGCATTACGGTGTACTCGAACGACCCGTATCTAGTCCTAAAAGCTGTCTTGGCACAGTCCGATGGTTCGACCCGAATCTGGTGGTAACCTCCCCGTAGATCTATTTTCGAAAAAACCCGTGCTGTTCGCAGTTGGTCGATCAGTTCGTCGGCGCGGGGGATGGGATATCGCGATTTAACTGTAACCCTGTTGAGCGCTCGGTAATCGATGCACATGCGAAACCCTCCGTCTTTTTTCGGTGTGAACAGTATCGGTGCGGCGAACGGTGACGAACTCGGTCGGATAAACTGCTTCTCTAACAGGTAATCTAACTGCTTCCTCAGTTCGTCGAGCTCTGGTTGTGTCAGTCTGAACTGGCGCTGTACGGTTGGCTGTGCCCCCGGTTCTAGTTCTATCCTATGATCGTG